GAAAGAAGACATGGGCACTTCTTTTTACATATATAAAAGCCTCATAATTTTGCCTCTATTTGCACCTATTTTCATAATTTTCCTCTATTTCCATGTTTTGTACACATATTTACCAGCCTATTTACAACCTTAACAGGAGTAATCATCACACCGTTCCAGCAAAACTATGCTGCCAGATAAACTGTGGGGCATTTTATTAGTCTAAATTCACAGATGATGTGATGTGGACCTAAACTTTATACTTCACTTATCAGTCCAAAACCACAGAAACATAAACAAAGGCTGTGGTAATGAAGCGAGGATTCATAAATGTATACAGTCCTGCAAAACTAGGCCTTGTTTTCACTACGGAACCCTTGAAAATAAGGCAATCATCATCAGAGCTGACGAGCGAGGAAATAAATGATTTGTCTACTTTAAACTGCAGCAAATTGTTCCAAGAACTTTAAAAAAAAAAAGTTGAACACTAAGATACAAAATAGTATAAAAACTTGCAACACCTACAGAATTCAGAAGGAACTCTTCAGTAATGTTCTCTTCCAGGAGTTGTTCAACAATATACAATGCTTTTTTCTCAAATTCAATCTTTTTTCTCATAGCAGCCTCCAGAGCTGCTTTCCTGTAACAGAACAGACACTGAATAACACAGAGGGCAGATTTCCCTAAACGATTCTCCAATCGTATCTTTATCTTTTTTCTGAAATACAGTAGCTTACATTTTTCTGCATCACATCATGTTGGGCAAACAAAGCAACAAGTAGCTGGACTAGTAATTCTGTAATAACCACAAAGGAGTTTCCAACCTTCGTTTGCTTTGTTTCCACCCCAGTCAGGAAAAGTATTGACTCTTAGTGCATTACAATACTTCCATACAAGGTTACCCAACTCTTCTTTCAAGAGAAGGAAACCCAGAACTGGCTGGGCAAACAGCCTGGGACAAACAATTTATGGAGTGTTGCCAGGAGGATGGGAACTGGATGAGACATGAAGAGTGGGAAGAAAAAAGGACTGGGACAAGACCGAGTGTGAGGGTACAAAGTAAAGGAAGGAATAAATCAAACAAATTCCACTACAGTAGATTTCCTGAGTGTTCCTGAGTCTTGCCACTATTCTACTGTCAGCAAATATCCAGAGAGCAACCATCTAGGTGTCTACAATCTCTATTTGGCAGCGCTTCCCACAGAGATTGTCAATGTACAATCATTCTGCTGTCTGAACCGATGGAGGTCTACGCTATTCACCTGAAAGTCTAGGTCTACTACAGAATCAAATGAATATTTAGGTAATTGTCCATGGCAGAAAGTGTTTTTTCCTCTCAAGTCTGGTTTTTAAAGTGAATAAAGAAAAACGGCAGGTAAGAAGTTAAGATGGCAAAAAGCAAGCACTACAGACTAAGGAAATACAACTGTGGAGGTTAGAATCACGAACTTTCAGAGTATTATCCAACGCACATATGTGCATGCTGTTAGAAGTTATATAGCATCACTCCAAACAAGCCTGCACGTTGTTGATGCTGGCGATCTCCTGAAGTTAGTCATGGTACTCTGAGAAAGCAAAAAACCACGCGAGGCAGAGAATGTGATTTCAAAGTGAGTCAAAACAACATGAATACCACATATTGTTATTTAGAAATTATACCTTTGAGTAGCATCTTCATCCTTCGGAGCAGCTGAATGTTTATTTCCTAGAAATCAAATATACAAATGTAGAAATGTAGAAATCAGTGTACTTTCTTCCTTTAACAGTGGCAAATATTGAAAAAATATTAAAACCTCTAAACTGTAAGCATAATCAAGAGACTTGCTTAGAAAGTTGCTTTTGGTGGCTGAAGAGTGACTTCAGTAACCATTCAGCAACTGGTTATACATGCTTTTTATTAGTGTGAGGACAGGCAGGCCCAACTCTCATTCACCATGTTCTGTACAGTCAGAAAGCTGAAGGAAAAATAATTCTGACAATAATTTTGTGCCAGCCACAGTCACCCTGGTTCTCCACTGGCTCTCCAGCCCAGCCTTACGCCTGCACCCCACTGTTGGGAAACGCTGTCCTTTTCAACTGCCCCACCCCTGGATTTTGCTCCGTCCAGGACTGGACCACACGGCCTCCACGCCGGCACCCCCACCACTGAGCCGCTTTTGCCGCCCTCC